TTTAACCTTTCCAGTAAAGTTTACTAAAAAAAATAGGCCCATGCTTGTGTTCAGGTGTCTTTTTGCAAGGATACCACACTACAGTATTTGCAGAATTCTTCCTAGTACATGGTCCTCCAACCTTTCTGAGCACTTGCCAGAAACTTTGAAGTTAAGTAGAACATCTGGGCGCATCATGTGCTTGCTTCCTAGTCCTGAATACTGATTTAGCGAAAATAAATGTAGATTTGACTATATTGGGATGATGGAAGGGATGGAAACAATTGGATGAGAGATTAATAGAGTTAAACCTTTGTGTGTCAGAATTATCAACAGATAGTAGATAACACTGATAAATCAAGACATATCAGCATAAGTATATGCATGATATAAGTTTATGCATACCAAAAATATATGCATATCATTTAGCTTTATATATAACTATTTTGCTAAATGGAAGTAAATATCAAAAGACAAAGCTAACAATTGAAAATGGTGTTCTCTGGGGATCAGCTCTGGGCAGTGAAGAGGATTGGGACAGGGAACTTTTTAGTACTATTTGGCCTTTTAAAGTATGTACATTTATTACTTTAATTAAAGAAAGATAATCTGTAAAACAGCAAATAAGTAACAATTTGTTGAAAATAAAGTTGAGTTTGCCATAAAACAATAGCTCTGAAAGGTTCCATAGTAAGAAGTTGCAGAGGTTGCAGAAGACAGATAAGGTATTGTTGGGAAAAGATTAGCCCCGATTGGATACTAATTAACTTTGTGGAAGCTATAGCAGGGGATAGAAGTTTACATAAAAGGCACTTATTTTCAATAATGGGGTTGAAGAAGGCAATACACATGGAGAGAAACTTGAGCCACCTGTTAAAGAGTGAGGGGATAGACAGAACTTCTCAGTTTATTGAACTGAATAGTCCTGAAATTCTATCATTGGTGAATGACATGTTAAATAAACATTATAGAGAGCTTCCCAGAGACCTGCCAGAAAAACCACCTGACACTAAGATCTGAATTTTTTAGTCAATTCATTAAAGGCATCACATCACAAATTGGAGGATTTTTCATGGGCAATAGCACTATCCAGATGATCAGGACTGTTTCCTTTACATCTTCCCATGACATCCAAAGACTTCCCCGAATTCTAAAGCCACGTGGAAGAGAGTTGCATACACACCATATACATTTATTTGAATATTTCTTATAAACACCGCCTATATGATGACTTGTAAAATGAGTTTAGCTGAGCTTTTCCCTGTCACCAACAGGGGTAAAATTATCTGTTCCTTGCTAATGACAGGAAAATGATCACAGCATGTTATCCTTAATTTCTTCAGAGAAGGATATGTGACTGATAATATTTTGAATTTGAAATCAAAAGTGTGATATTACTTGGGAGGACCACGGAAAATTTACACAAATTATTTTATAAAAATATTGTAAAGAAAGGTTTTTAAATATCTGATTTAGAAAAATGTTTCTAACGCCTTTCACTTTGGGGAAAGTATGTTAAAGGCGATCTAGTTTCATCTAAAAATAGTCTTTACAATGAAGCTAAATTCTTATGTTGGTGATTTGAAACATTTGCCACCCAGAGTTGGGGGAAGAAGATCAATCATCAAACATTTATTTCAGCATCTACTATGTACTTGGCACTAAGCTAGGTGCTTTACATATTTTATCTCATTTAGTCCTCTTGTAAGATATACTGTACATTAAAGTATGATTCTTCCCCTTTTGGAGAAACTGAGGCTCAGTCCAGCTAAGTCTATTGCTGAAGGTCATACAGCTCAGCAGAATCAGGTTTTATAAATTCAGATACTTAAATTGAATGCCTGTGTTCTTTCTTTTTTACCATGTTCCTTCCAAATCACAATTTAACTCTAAACACAAACTGTGAAAATGGGTTCTACTGTATTTTAAAGAGCCTAACCTATGTCTGCTTATCACTCTTTAAAGATACTCTTCTACCCACATATCACTACAGGGGGCATGTAAACACCAAAGACCCTAGGTGGGAGAACTCTCCCTCTGCCCTCCTTTGTGCATTGGATCTGCACAACTAGGTTACCCTGTCATCATTCTGAATAGGAATGGACCCAATCCAATGTAATCTATACAAGTGAAATTACTAAATCTAAGCTTCCAATAGACTAGTGCTTCCAAGGGCACTATTCTATTTTCAGCAGCACTTCAACATTATCCTTATAAAATATTGAAAAAGCAGGGGGGTGGGGAGCTAAAGGAAGAAGAGCATTAGGAGAAATACCTATGTAGATAATGGGTTGATGGGTGCAGCAAACCACCATGGTACGTGTATATCTATGTAACAAACCTGCACGTTCTGCACATGTACCCCAGAGCTTAAAGTATAATAATAGAAAAGAGATTATCTAAAATGGGAAAAAGCAGAATTTAATAAAATTAAAACAAAGAAAAAAGCATCCTCTACACTTTAAAAAAACTACAAAGAAATTTCAAACTACAGTACGAATAATACAAAATAAAGTGATATATTAGTTACCTAACTCTGTCCCTTTACTGGGTAAACAATATATAGTATAGTCAAATGTATTATTAGATGTACTAAGCTGGGAAAAGAATATATAACATTACTGTTGCCACTAGACGAAAGTCTTAATCTTGTGATACTGTTCCTATCTCTGATAATTATCCCTCCTACCGTTTACATTGTAATTATTTTACTTTGTTTTACACCTAGACTACTGAAATAGCCTCTAATAATCTTCCCTTTGCAAATTTTTCTCCGTGGATTATTTCAAGTTGTAGAATTTGTAGTTTACAAAAAATTTCCAGCACATATTTTTATTTAGTATTTTATGGATGAGAATGTTGCTGAGAGATTTTGTATTACTGAAAACACATAGCTTGAGGGGAACAGAGTTAGGACAAGATCTCAGGTCTCCATATCCTGAAACAAGTCTACTTTCTATCACCAACACCTTCCCTGTGGCATACTCTTCTTAACCAAGTGCTTTGTTTATGTTTATGCTATTGCTCAAGGACTCTCCACATAAGTGACCCAAATTCAAGGAGGAATTATCAATGGGCTCTGGAGTCAGCCTACATATGTATCAATCCTGGCTCTACCACATGCTAGCTGTGTAAGCCTTTGCAAATAATTTAAACTCTTTGAAACTTGGTTTCCTTATCTGAGCAGTAAGGACAACAATACCACCTTCCTAATCTGATTGTTGTAAGAAGAAAATTAATCAATATGCTAGCCATACCTGTTAGTCTTTTCCTACTCAGTAACCTTCACTCATTCTCCATTGCCTACTAAAGAAAGCCCAGAGTTTTAAACTTAACACTTAAGAATCTCATGACCTGGCCTTAATGTATCATATTAACACTATACTCTAACACCTCTTATCACGTCTTTCATGCCACACAAATCAAACTCCTAAATTTTCCTGAAACCCAAATGTACTTTCCCAAATAAACTCCATATAACTTTGTTTATGTGATTCCTTCTTCCTAGGATATTATTTCCATGCAATATCACAATACCTTATGTGGAAATTCTGCCCATTTTTCAAAGCCCAGGTTAATTACTTCCTGCTCAATACAGCTTTTCTTGATCTCTCAGCCAAAATTAATTTCTTCTCTCTTCTGTACCCAAGGCATGTTGTATTTTACTCTTTTATGACAGAAAGCACTTTGCTCTGTATTATGCTTTTATATGTGCTTGCCATTTTCCCCTATTAGAGGAAACTAAGGCAATACAACGTTAAGAATTAGGTTGAACTGTATAAAATTGTTGATATTATACCAGTTTCAACCTACAAAAATGACAATTTCAAGTGATACAATCTAATAAAATGGCTCTTTTATGGTTATTACTAATTCACTTAAGGTAAATATTCAACACCTTCTGGATTGTATTCTATGAGTATTCTAGAGGCTAATGTTTCTATGCAGCTATACAGAAGAAAGGCAATTTTAGGCTTTTTTAGAAAATTAGCAAATTAAAAAATTTTAAAGATGAAGATCTCACTATGTTTCCCAGGCTGGTCTTGAACTACTGGTTTCAAGTGATCCTCCAGCCTTGGCCTACCAAAGCTCTGGGAATACAGATGTGAACCACCAAACCTGGCTATAGGCTTTTCTTCCATTGAAGAGACATGGATTTTAAATCTTTCATAGTTCTTTTTGACTAATGTGGCCAAAATGTATATTTTGACATTTCAGTTCTTAGAAACAATCTCATGCATATTTAATATAAAATAATCAAATTCTTATTTGGGCTGGCTCCTTCTTTATGTTTTCTTATTTTCTCTCGTCATTTAGTAAGAGTTGCCTATGAAAGCAGTCAATTGGAGATCTATAAAAATACAAATGATAGTTGATTCTCCATTGTTCCAGTTATTATAAAATATAAAAGAAAATCTTTTTTCCTTTAACACTTGTATAGTAGATGTTTACAAGATTCCAAAGTCTTCATAACATAAATTAATTACCAAGGATTGTATTACAAGAGATTTCCCCTTAGTAACTAAGTTCTAGTTCCATTTTGTCAATGCCATACATAATAAAATCTACATATTTTGACTTGATTCTCAATTCAAATAATATATTCTCAAAGAAGACATACAGGAAGTAAATACCAGCTGGTGAAATGTGATCATTACAATCATCTTAGACAATATCACTTCCAATTTGTTATTCATTTAAATACCACACCTCATGAAAATATGTAACACTGCACAACTGTTGGGTACATTTTAGAACTGAAGATCAGCTACAAATTAGGTATTCATTAACCAGTTCATTACTAACCTTATAGATTTAATGTCTTAATGGACCTAAATTGTTTTGTCTTCTGAGAGAAAATGGAAAGATTTATTCTAAAAATGCTCTGACAGAGCACAAATACCAATAGTATAACTTGTCAGTATTTTAATGAAAATTTAATGGGAGAACCTGCACAGTGGTATGAGAAGAGTTCAAGCACGTTATTTCAGTTTGATAAGGAATCAGCTGATTGATCTTACCTGCTCATGAATCTGGCTTGATCCACTATGGCACAGTTTATTTCCAACATGTGTAGAAATTGAATCGTTTCCTGTGATGGTTTGAGTTTGCTGGCTAGAATCAGGTTGTTGCCAGTGTGAAGAGTGGATGACTTGGGGCTGTTGGACAATGTGATGATGGCACTGAACCTGAGGAGGGCATTCCTAAGACACATAAACATGCCAAAAACAGCCACTGAGGATAAACATTACTGATTAAGATAAACAACTGAAACCATTTTGTTAAATTTAGTTTTTTCTTTCACTATAATTAAAACCCTAGGATTTATAGTTTTAGCTAGTGATATTCTTTCCATTTTTTTTACTGGGGAAATTTTGTATTAAATTCTACTTGTATTTGATCAGGTTGCTGTGACCATTCAAATACTTATATAGATTGCCCAAGGCATTGCATGTTCTGATTAAATTAACATTCCAGCTATACTTAACACTAAAACCATAATGAATATTAATTGATATTACTTTGATGATTCAGTAGGTACTTCAGAACCTAATTACATAAAATACTATAATACTGAAGATATAGATAAATTTAAAATTAAAAAATAATAGAATATAGTGATTTTCAATGTCAGGAAGCATAATAGAGTCACAGTGGATGGGGAGCAAAGTTCTTATCCTTATGAAACTTAAGTATAAATTTCTTAAAATGTTAAATAAATAAAAGCAGTGACTGAAACTTCAGATCAAGAAAACATGGATGCTAAGTCTGATTTTATCACTAATCCTGATCTTGAGAAACTGAATATGCAACCACTATGAGCCTCCATTTCCCCATCTGTAAAAGTGAATATGGTACATACTCCTTTGGGGTGCTATGAGGAGTAAATCAACTAATGTCTATAGGCTGCTTACTACAAAGTAGGTGAGTAACAAACATTATTATTATGATTGCATCATAAGCATTATCATAGTCATCACCAACTTTATCATCATCTACCCTACTAATTTTGCAGATGGAAAAAAAAAATCTGAAGTCTAGAAAAGTAAGATAATTTGCTTATAGTGACACAGCTAATTAATGACAAACTTGGGACTGGAACTCATGACTTCCAGCTTAAACTTCTGTTAGAATATTAGGCTGAATTTGCACTGATGTCAAGATTTTCTAGAATTTGTTGTTTTTAAACTAAATCTTTGTTATCTGCTTATTTGTCATGACTTTTTTTTCTGTTAAGTATAGAGCACAGACTAGGAAAAGCTACCTGGTTATTTTATTTTGGGGGATTTCAGGCATACTTGAATTTGCTTTATTATCTTGTGATTATTCTACTTTGATAAGAGACATCTGGAAGCCTGTTTTAAAAAGAAACATACTCTATTTTGAATCATAATGCTACATGTATGCACATAACATTAATTTTGAAAGTATAAATGCAATGCATTATACTTTCAATATCCTATTGACTATGGAAACTTGACCTATATTAATACAGTAAAACACTTCAGATTTTAAATTTTTTTATATGAAACAATTTTCAAGCTGTATTAAATATAAAAAAAACAAAATGCAAAAGACTGAAATGGTATACCTTTTCTGCTGTAACATTTTTTAAAGTGACATATACATTTACAAACACATATAACTGCTTTGCTATGCATAGACCAAAATGTTTTAAGAGTAACTGCTTCTGGGAAGAGAACCTGGGGACAAAAGTGTCTGGATAAGGAGGTTTATTTGTCACTGTATACCTTTTTATACTCTTTTTATGCCTTTCAATGTTTTTTATACTTAATATTTTTCATATATAAAAATTACCATTTCATGTATACAAAAATATTTTGAAAGAATGAAATATATATAAACAAGCACATTTTACAAATAGAAGATGCCTTGGTAGATATAGGCATAATGAAGGTTGCAGAATAAGTCCAGGGTATCATTTTCTCTAGACTCTTATCAAATATGACACACTTTGTACATATACTATTACTAAAATTTCTACGGTTTAGGAATTTTGGGGGGGTGAATATATGTTACATTATTATTGTCTTTTATGTTACAAAATACCTTCATATACTGGAATGAGGTAACATTGCATTAATAGTCTGAAATGACTACCACTCATTGGGGAACTTGTAGGCTATTGAAATATAATCTCTCCTGAAGGAATAAAACAAAACAAAATAGAGTGTTCCTCGAAAAGCAAATTAGGGAACACTTGGAAAGCACACATCACTAGAGGTCAATAAAGAAAACAAAACCTATTTCTTAATAATCTTCCTTTGTTGATGTATCAATTGTCTCTTGAATAGAACACTTACATTCCCATCATCTGGGGTGCCTTGCAGTCTACCTGAGCCCGTTTGGCCTATGAACCATTTATTGATATCACTGAGGTCTTAGCAGGTTTTCAGTTTTCAATTCTTACACCTGACTACTAAAGTTCTTTTTCTAAAGCAAAATGTTCACATATTTATCATATTTTTTAAAAATATAATAAGCTGAATTTTAAAGTACAAAAGATCAAACATTTCTGATTTGTCATAGATTATTTTTCCTTTTTGATAGAGTAAAAAGAATTATGATGAGTATAAATTATATTAATTTTTTAGCTATCTTGCACCTGGCCCCACTTTACCACCCTTCCACTACGAAGATCTCTTTTTTCTTGAACAGTTCTCAACTCCTAATAGCTTGTCCTATTTGATTTGATCACATGTGACAGTAAATAGGTTCATCCAGACTCTGGCTTTACCCAAATTGTCCTAGTTTATCTCCATCACTGAGGAAACTACTAGAACAAAGCAACTGTAGTTTGCTCTATCTGCATGGTTCCTTTTACATTGGGCAGACTTCACGGAGGTTCCCAAACTCCCAAACTGTTTAAGTAATTGAGAAGAAAAGTGGGTATAAACAAATAAATATTCAAATTAACAGTAAATAGCAGCAGTATTCTCTTAAAGGAGCTATTCTTTAGTTGTTTCAGCTGCATAGCAACAGTGTACAAGATATTCAGTCTTTTACTCTACAGTCCACGAATTAGAAACACTGTTCTCCTTAAAACAGGAAGCTAGAAGCAGCATGAAATGATTTGCCTCTAAAATTCCTTACTATTTAAAATGTGTCAAACTTATTTTTTGTAGCCCTGTTGGATAAAAGACAGATGTTATAATTTGATTTGTTATAAAGGAAAATGCCCCTTGAAGAATAGGCACATTTCATGAATTTTTTTTCTACTTGGTATCATAATGTCCAGAAACATTATGCTGCTCCTTTGTAAGATATGCATTCAATACATACCATAGCAAACCCTTCAGACTATATCCAACTTTCCAAGCAAACCAAAATATTAAAGATTTGCATGTTTATGACTTTGAAAGTTTGTTTTATTTTAACTGGACACAAATAAGTAATAATGTGTTAGTTCCTATGAATGTGGTAACAAACATCCACAGGTGCTCATAAAAATAAAATAAAAAGGAAAAGCTAGAATTTTTTTGTCAGTTTGATTTGCATATGAGAAAAAAGATTTTGTTATCGCAACTGATTTGATAGTGTTTCACTGCCTATGATAGGTTGAATTGTATCCTCCCACACCCAAGTCCTAGCCCAGTAACTCAGAATGTGATCTTATTTAGAGACAGAGTCTTTATAGAGATAATTAAGTTATTAGGATAGCCCTAATACAGTATGACTGGTGTCTTTATAAAAATGCAAATTTGGACACAGAAACAAACCTGGAAAGAGGGAAGATGATGTGAAGACACACAGGAAAGTTTCCATATGAAGTCGAAGTATTTGAGTGATACATCTACAAGCCAAGGAATGTGTGAGGCTACCAAAAGCAAGGCGACAGGAATGGAAGAGTTCCTTCTCTAGCAGCTTCAGAGAGAAGATGGCCCTGCCAACACAGTGATTTCAGACTTTTGGCCTCCAAAACTCTGAGACAATAAATTTCTGTTGTTTGAAACCATATAGCTTGTGGTACTTTGTTGCAGCAGCCCTAACTAACTAATATACTGCTCTAGTTCAAGAATATCCAACAGACACGTCCTGGACGTTGGGCTACACATGCTTGTACACACTGAGAAGAGCAATATGAAACCTTTGTCGGTCATAGTAACAACTCCACATGAAGGACTTAGTGCTGTAGATGCCATGGAATTACCGTGACCTTGCTGCAGTTTTATGATTGGTCTGTTGATTTGAGCTTAACCGAATTTTTAAAATGTACTTGAAGCTTTAGTTTTCTAGATATTTTACAGTATGTTGTATTTCACATATCTGTTTGTAGGTATTGTTCATTTAAAAGAATTAGAACAAATTTTAAGGTTTTAAATTATGATTTTGTTGGACCAGTTAAAAAGAAAACATACAGGGCACTGAGATATCTATATTAAGTTCAGATTCTGCCATTAATTTTCTATGTGACTTCACATATCTGTTATTAATTTTCTATGTGACTTCACATATCACATATTATGAAACTATTAAGGATAGCATAAAGGGCTGTAGATATCATAGCATATTATAAGTCATTGTGGTCTTGCCCAGCATTTCACAGTTGAATGTCCCTTGATCTCTATTAAAATATTCACAATTCAAAATTATACACCATAATACAGTTTTAAAACAAATATTACTTACCTGATCAGTATTCAGCTTCTCCACTTTTCTTATTGTTTTTTCATAAATAATGTTGTTTCCTGAGAAAAAATGGCCTCCTCTTAAGAATTGAGACAGTGGTTCCTAAAATGACAGTAAATTATATGTTTTGTTTTGAAAGGTATCTTTTCAGAGTAACCTTAAATTAGGCAAATATCCAGTGTCTAATAGGCTCCAAGGTAGCAGCCAACCTTAGGAAGAGAGTGGAATGACATCCCAATAATGTTGATAGATGCACGGAAATAATAATAAAGGTAGTTTCCTCTATGAAAAAGAACAATCTGGATTTCTCCTATTACGTTTTACTAGGCCTAATAAAGTCTTTTGTGGAGATTGTTGGGGAGTGGGAAAGATAATTTTCTTTCTGTTCCTGAGGCAAGATATGAGTTTCCTTTGAGGTAAGCAAGCCTGAGGTCAATCTCATTTAAATTGAGTTCACTGGAAGATTTCTTTTAATGCAAAAATATTGTTGGAGAAATGCAAAATAAACATATTTCAGCACGACTAAGCCATAAAGTAGGTAGAACTATATTAAAGAGTTTTTTCCTGCAACTCAATTTGGGTGCCCTTGAAATGTATAATTCTTAATTGTGATTATAATCAAGGCTAAGACTCTCAGAACAACATATGTTTTGAATATTCAGAAGAGAGTAGAGGCTTTAAGAGCCACTTTATCTCCATGTATTCAACTAAGATTAGCTGAGTGCCTAGAAGATGTCAGCCAGTGAAATATAGACTGGTGGGCCGGGCGCGGTGGCTCAAGCCTGTAATCCCAGCACTTTGGGAGGCCGAGGCGGGTGAATCACGAGGTCAAGAGATCAAGACCATCCTGGTCAATATGGTGAAACCCCGTCTCTACTAAAAATACAAAAAATTAGCTGGGCACAGTGGCACGTGCCTGTAATCCCAGCTACTCAGGAGGCTGAGGCGGGAGAATTGCCTGAACCCAGGAGGTGGAGGTTGCGGTGAGCCGAGATCGTGCCATTGCACTCCAGCCTGGGCAACAAGAGCAAAACTCCATCTCAAAAAAAAAAAAAGAAAGAAAGAAATATAATATAAACTGGTGACATGTCCAAAATCTGAAACTGGGGAAGAGCTCATAAGAATCAGACCAGGAGTCTAAAATAAATGTCATCATGTGCACCATGTTCTTTTCCCTTCCTTTGGTTTTCATTTGAAGTCTACTTGTGTAGGGAGTGCTGGGGTCGTTTTGTTTCTTGTTTTTCTACAAAACAAAACTTGCATTAATTTATTTTTTGATATGGGGGGATACTATAGAAGACCATATAGGCAAGACTGTTACTAGTTAATGTATTTAAGAACATTTCAAAATCAACAAAATATACTAGGATTTTTGTAGTCTGCTATTGTAAATAGTCATAGAGCAACTGGACTAAAACACTGATTGTTGAAAAGGCAAGATGCTCTTGAATCAAAAGTTATATACATATTGAATTCAAGTTTGAGCAAAAGGTGTTTTAACCAAATGTTCCTTGGGTGTTTTAGTAAAACAAATATTTAAGTGACAAAATCTGACTAGGTGATGAAGTATTAAATCTAAAGCTTTATATATTTAGAAAGATTTCCCCAGAAGCTATTTTGTTGTTGTTTGTTTTTGTAAAAGAGCCTCTTTTTTAGTTATGTGCAATCATGGAACACATGCTTAAGTGCTTGCTATGCAGTGTACTTTGCTACATGCTATGAGGCATAAAAATATGAGTCAGACTTATATTATTACCAGGAGCATTTAATATTGATCAAGATTCATCAATCTATGGCAGATAGTCTGTTTTTATTGTGTCCTCAAGCTAAAAATAGAAGTTAGATTTTAATGGACTATAAATGAACAACAAAGGCCAACTCCTTATGTGGCCAGCAAAACCAAAAATATTTGTTAGTTGTTTCTTTACAGAAAAATTATGCCAATCCCTGATTTAGATAATATATGAACACAAACATATACACAAGGTAGAAAGTGACAAGAGTGACAAGTGCCCTTACGTGTACAGAGAAAGAACATAAGGGATGGAGTTCAGAGGGACAAAACTGAGTTCTATCTGGCAGTGTTCTGGTAAGGTACCTGGATTAGGTGGCATTTGAAAGAAGATTAAGGCGGTCTTTGGATATGAGAAAATGGAAAAAAATGGTATTCCAAGCGGAGGAAACAATACCATTAAAGTCATCAAGTTTGGAAAAGTGTAAGTTATATGTGTGGGACATACTTAGTAGATAGTACTTGGTTCTCCAAGCAATGAGAAGTCTTTACATGCTTTTAAACAGGGGTATGAGGTGAAGTTTACTTCAAGAAGATTAATTAAAGGAAGAGTACAGATGAGGATACTGGTATGATTATCCCAATAATACAAGACAGTACTGTTCAAGACTGACTCTGAGATCTTGAACCTGAGGAGTCTACTACGTGCTACCAAAAAAGAAAATGCTGAGACACATTTTAAGTGCTCCTAATAAGAATCTAGGTCTGATTATGTTTTTATTCCCCAGAATGTTTAGCAAAGTACATAGTGCATAGTAATTCCTTTAACATGTGTCAAATGATTGCAAATAACTCCCAAAAAGATGCTTTTACTAAAAACCATCTGGGTAGACACTCAGATATAGATGATCAACACACAGGTGAAAACACAGGTCTGGAACTAAGTGGGGAGTGCAAGGCTGTGGATCTATTATATACATATCAATACCACCTGCTCACTAGTGCTAGATAAAACCAGGCAATTGCTGAATAAGCAAATGAAGATCAAAGACAGAACTAGACTTGTCTCAAGAGGTCTCAGAAGGGAAAATATTGTAAATTAAGAAAAGAGCAATTTTCAAGAAGCCGTAGGAAGTCAAAGGTATAAATGTTTCAGAGTGGTAAACTGATGAGAATTATAAAGTGGATTGAATTTGGATGACTACAAATCCATTGGGTTTGACCACTAAAATCAGTGAAAGAAAGTATAATGGGAAAAAATTATGGAATCATAAAACCTGTATTTCAGTTATTCTTCTTTCTCCTATGAGCTGTGGAAAATTATGTAGGCCATTAACCTTATTGGAGGCTCAGTTTTCTTAGCATAGGGAGAATAATGCATAATATTAAGTAAAATCATGTGTTTTAAAGTACCCTTAATCTATAATTTTAATTCACAAATGATATTCACTTTTAATAATATAGTAATATAATATTTAAAATCCATACTGTATTTTAAATAATTTTGATAATTTCCTCATAACTTCTCTAGAATATCAAGTATAAAAATACACACAAGTAGGCTTACTGAGGGCAGGGACTTTGACTATCTTGAGTACCACATAGTGAATGAACAGAAGATTGAGGGAGAAGGTATGATAAGAATCTTTATCTTAGGAATGTAACCATTCTCTAAGAGAGGGAAAACAAATTCAGCAAAAGCATGAATTTTTTTCTGTGAAATAAGGTTCACTATAAATGATGAATAGTCATTTTTAAAAAATAAAATGTCTAGGCACTAACAGTGCTGATTCTCTCTTGAATATATTTTGGTTACATGATGTGAGATGACTTACTGAAAAAAGAAAAAACCCTCCAAATTTAGGGGACTAGTATTTTCCCCAAATCTGTAAGAGAGTGAATAAAGAATGAATATAAATAATTCTATGAAAATAAGTCAACAAAATAAATTTAATGGGAACTTTTAGATTTCTCAACAAATGAGCTGCTAGACAGTTCTACTATTTTGGCACCTTCTTTTTCTCAACCTGTTCATTTGAAATGGTGCCAGATCCACCCTAAAAATTAATAGGTGTTTTCAAAGTGGTGGATCTTATAATTTTAATTGTACCAGTTAGAACCTCTGGCAGTAATTCTCACATCTCACAAAGTATATAATACCCAACATACCTTACTGTTCCCAGGCCCCAAAATCTTGGTGGAGAAACTTTTGTTTTAAAAGAAGACTTGTTGATTTGGCTCATTATAGTTTGAAGACATTCAACTTCAAGTAGGCCCTTCGACCTTTGTGGTTATATTTGTAGTCATCAAATTCTTTATAATGTTGCTTACAAATATTTTCATTTTCTTCAACTCCTGTGCTTATACTCCCTCACTCTCCCCCTATTTACAGAGAAAACCAAAATAATCTATCCAATGAGATATCTCTCTATTTTCCTTCACATGTCAAAAATCTCCCTTTTCTGCTCTCTCCATCTGCTTAAGAAAAAAAAATGCATTCTCTCTCTCTCTCTGTTTTTTCCTGAAGTAATTTCTTGGTCTGTACCTGGAATCCCATTCCTTCTTAGCGCTTCCAGAATATTATCCAATTTGTCTCCTTTCTCTGTTGCATCTTTAGCCTCCCTTATTACTGCTTTTTTCTAACTACAAGTTTCCCAGGTGCACAAGATTCTTGGTATTCCTTTAGCGACCATCCCATTCCTTTGACCAATACACTTCCAGAAGAGTAATCTTCACTCATATTTTCAATTCCTCTGGATTTGCTCACCTGTTAACTTACTGCATCTGAATTTTGCCTCCACAAGTATACCAAAACTGCTCTATCAGTGTCACTATCAGTTCCTTAATGGACAAACTCTATTCTCAAACCTCATCTTCTTAGGTCTTTTGGTCATTTAAGATGGTTCATCACCCTGTTTTTGCATTTGCATCAGTTGCGGTGTGTTCACATCTCTCTCTGGTAACCCCTCTTCGTGTGAAAGTGGCTCCTTCCTTCTGTCCACTTCAAGTAGCCCCTTCCTTCTGTCCACTTCAAGTAGCCATTTCTCAAGGTTCTGACCTCAACATTCTCAATTACCTCTTCGTTATCTCACTGATTCCTGTAGCTTCAATGATACCTTTAAGAGGAATGATTCCCACATCTCTATGTCAAATGTGACTTTCCTCTGAGTCGTTTTTTAACTGCCTGTTAGGTATCTTTCTGTTTCCATGCAACTAAAATGCTACTGGTTCAAATAAACCTCAAAAGTTCAACCTTTTTAAGTCTACTTCTCCTCCCACTCACTTTTCAATCATTTTAAGTGGGTCACCTTACTCTCAGTGTCTCAAGCTAAAAAGCTTAGGGTCATATTTGATTTTTCTCCACCTCCAGTAAGTCATCGAATCTCGTTAAAGCTACCCACTAAAATAGCTGTCAGAAAAGATAGAGAGTGATGAATTTTCATCAGAAGACCTGAGCAAGCTATTACACTTACTCACACTTTCATTTCCTTAGTAGTAAAACAATGCTAATATAAGGTTAATTATATTAATACCTTAAATAGCACAATAAATCCTTCCCTGATTTCCCTCAAACAAATGTGTTAACTCCAACATCTGAACTCCAATAAGAATTTATCTGTAGTCCTTTCATGGCATCTATCCTACATCTCACCATGTGTTCTACATAGCTATTTGTGGACCTGTCTTATTTCTTTCCCTGAGAAGAATTATATGCTCCTTTAGTTTAGGAAACATGTCTCATTTCTCTGTTTCTGTTGAGAGATTGCATAGTGTCTTCCCCATAGCAGGAGATACACAACTGGAAAATTAATGAAATTGATTAGTATCAATTGGATTATATCACTAATGGAACAAATGTATTTCCTTCATTTCTGGATCTAATTTTAAACAGAATGCATAAATTCTTAGATTAAATGATCACAAATGAAGAATAAGAAAGATCAGGAACAACAAAAAATTTAAAGGCTTAACAGAGATAGAAAAAAATCATAATGAAAGAAGTGGATTGAAGTCAGTTTTACAGGAAAAAGAAATAAAGATTAGACAAGCTGGGAGGTGAAAGAGGATGAAATTGCTATTTAGAAGGCTCAACTTATTATAAATATTGTAATTAAACTAGAATCTTCTCCTGAGGGGATTTTAAAGAGCAAACAAAAAAAGAATCTGCTTAGATAAATAAAATGATAGGTATAGCTAAACAGGAATTTCAAGGTGCTTTGTAAAACAAGTTCGATTATGTTTTGATTATAAACCATCATGAAATTTGAAATCTGTTTCATTCCTCAATAATGCAAGTAGCTAAATGATTTTAGATGAGCATTTTCTTCAACCCTCTGCTGGGAATTTGTCCTGAGAGAAAACTTAATATGGCTGTGTTCAACTACAAGTTGAACAAGTTTGTAGTTGAACACAGCCATATTGATGAGCTTTTACAGGAGTAGGCTCAGTTTTTCCAATATGTTAGGTGCTTGCATATATATTTCTTATTTCTCTGTTCTTGTACCTACATGTGGGTAAGGGGGTGCACAGGTGAGTATTACATCCTAACTGACATCCATCATCAATGTCCTTCATTTACAAATGTTTCACTCCCGGCTCTGCATTGTTCAATTTCAGTTCTAATTTTGCTGCTTTGTAATTGAATGGTTTTACACTAGCTAAGAACTTAAGTTGAAGAAGGTTGGGACCTTGTTTTGTTTACTGCTTTATCCTCCAGTTCTTAGTGCAATTTCTGGCACGTAGTAGCCCATCAATAAATATTTATTGAGTAAATGACTGAATTTCTCTGTGCTTCTGTTTTTTCCCCTTTTTAGGATTAAACAGGATGTAATATTGAAATTGCCTAGCATGGAGTATGTACCCAAAAGTCATTAATTCTTCATTTTCTCTGTTAGCTAAAGATTATGGATTCATCCAAAGTCACGTTAAGTATTGCTGGCAAAGTGGATTGGAACCCAAGTGACTGGACATTTAAAGTCTCTCTGGATATATCCTAGGCAAGTACAGCAATTCTCACATTATGAAAAAAATGGGTTATCTAGAACCAACTCTGAAAGCAAGGATTATCAAGTGCAATATGCATCCAAGTATGCATATCCCTCAGATTATGTGTAAAATGAAAGAAGAAGAGAGAGGGAAAGTAACAAGAGGAATGTGTGTAAAGTGACTGGCCAAGTAACAGAAAGAGATACACTCTCGTCTCCCAGGCCCTTCAAATCTTCACCCTTCCTTCCTTCCCCTCCCTACCTCCACCCTGTTCAGATTTGTTGTTTAAATATTTGATTCTGCAAAAGGAGGAATAGGCAACTGATTTAGCTATAATAACATGCCCTTTCAATATTTACATGGATATATGAAAACTCAAGCAAATGTCCAAAACAATCACTCCTCAACTCAGAACCTCATAGGTTCATACTGACACACATGCACAACTAGCAGCCTCCCTAGCTAAAGAGCCACAAGATGATGATTTTTAATAAATAAATAAATAAATAAAGAAGAAAGGGAATAGATACTCATAGAAGCCTAGTACATCTTCCCCACTCACCTAGAATAGTAGCAAGCAGAACTCTAATCTAACCCTTTCCTTTCCACAGCTGAAGCAGTTGGTTTTATCTTATAAGGGAAGGGCAGGATGGTTTCCCATTATGGAAGAAAAATACAGAGCAAAGCAAAGAACTGTTCTAGTCCTATCTGGATCATACTGTTGCCAGTTAATGAAACCGATGTTCTTACAATTTCATAGAGCCTCCTGTTGGAGCTAAAGAAGTATGTGTGCGTGAATGTGAATGCATGTGTTGAGGAAGGATTATTACAGCAGAATCTTAGTTTGTGAAATGTAAGGATATATATCTCAGTAAAAAGATATTTTATTCTAAACAATTCACTGCTGGGAAAAAAAGTTCACACACCAGAGGCAATAAAGGCATAGGGACACTTTTTAACTTTTGACTTTCATTTTCATCTTCCTAGTCCATATCTCCATGGCAAATGTGAATAGCCTAAAGACTCTAACCCCTGGTATAGCAGTTGGCAGAGCTTTTATGTGAAGGCTGTAAAAGAACTTTGTCCCTTTTTTGTTTGTTCAAAGTCCATAAAAGTCTTTTGTAGCATAAGTGTGGGGCTATCCAAGAGGAAAACCTTTACAACCCAACATTTCCAAGCTGCTTGGAAGTATTGCATCTCTGAGTCAGAATATAGAGACTCATGGTTGTCTGGCATTAAAGGCGGCATTTGTTGATACTAATAATCAGAAATTTAGTTTGTAACTGTAAGAAAGTCCAAAAATCTGATCTTGAGGATCTGGTAACTGGTTAAGCCTTTTTGTTTAAGCAATTAACTTCTAAAGAATTATATGTTGGGAAAAGTTTGTGCCTTACCTGTTCAGGATTTTGTATTACATATTTCCTAATAGTGGTCTGTGGATATGTAGTAACTTTCACCATTGGAGAATGAAGTTCCTGTGAAGAAAGGACAAAGGCTGGATACAATCATAGTTATTTATTGACCTTGGAGCTATCAATACTAATAGGGAACAATTTACAGGGTGAAATTTTGTTATTTGCATGAATGATGATGTATGATTTGATGATTTCGTTAATTTAAGTTTCAGAAACATTGAAAAAAGCATGTGTTCTATCCAACATTTTGATGGGTGCTTGTATTATACTCATTTCATGGTATTTAATTCACATTTTAAACTATATTTGACAAGCATTTTTAAATGCTTGTTTCATTCTAAATGATTACAAGAAAATAATAGCTCAATAGTGATGAATTAAATCTCTGATTTTGAAAAGATGTCTTATGTTTAAAAAAATGAAAAGAGACACAAAGAGAAAAACGTATATGTGTGTGTACTTAAACCTTTAGATCTTCAGTGTGTTGGAAAGAGAGGGCCATAGATATCATTGTAAACTTTTGATGGGAAAAGAGCTTTTTGGGGAATTTCATGTAGACTTATTTATTATTTTTAACTTTTTTTGTAGGTTAATTTAACTTTTATTATAGGAGAACATATGCAGGTTTGTTAATGAGGCAAATTCATGTCACAGGGGTTTGTTGTACAGATTATTTCATCACCCAGGTACTAAGCCTAGTACCCAGTAGTTATTTTTACTCCTCCCACCATCCATCCTCAAGTGTGAGCCAGTGTGTATTGTTTCCCCTTTTATGTCTGTGATTTCTCATCATTTAGCTCTCACTTGCAAGTGAGAACATGTCGTATTTGGGTTTCTGTTCCTATGTAAGTTTGCTAAGTATAATGACATTCAGCTCCATCCATGTGCCCACAAAATACATGATCTTGTTCTATTTTATGGCTGCATAGTATTCCATGGTATATATGTCCCACATTTTCTTTATTCAATCTCTCATTCCTTGGCATAATGAGTTCCTATCTTTGCCTTTGTGAACAGTGCTGCCATGAACACTCATATACATGTGTCTTTATGGTAAAATGATTTATATTCAGTAGGGTATATACTCAGGAATGGCATTGCTGGGTAAAAGGGTTGTTCTATTTTGGGCCCATTGAGGAATTGCCACATTGCTTTCCACAATGGTTAAACTATTTACACTCCAACCAACACTGTATCCTTTTCTCCACAGCCTCACCAGCATGTTTGGTTTTATTATTTTCTGACTTTTTAATAATAGTCATTCTGACTGTTATGAGATAGAATCTCATTGTGGTTTTCACTTGCATTTCTCTAATGATCAGTGATATTGAGCTTCTTTGCATATGCTTGTTGGTTACATGTATGGCTTCTTTTGAGAAGTGTCTGTTCATGTCCTTTGCCCAATTTTTAATGGGGTTGCTTTTCTCTTGTACATTTGTTCAAGTTCCTTATAGATGCTGGATATTAGACTTTTGTCACATGTGTAGTTGGCAAATATTTTATTCCATTCTGTAGGTTGTTGGTTCACTCTGTTGATAGTTTCCTTTGATGTGCAGAAGCTGTTTAGTTAAATTAGATCCTACTTGTCAATTTTGCTTTTGTCGGGATTGTTTTTGGCATCTTGTTTCTATATCCAGAATTGTATTGCCTAGGTTGTCTTCCAGGCTTTTTAGAGTTTGGGGTTTTACTTTGAAGACTGTAATCAATCTTGAGTTGATTTCTGTATATGGTATAAGGAAGTTTAAATCTTCTGCATATGGCTAGTAGTTATCCCAGCACCATTTATTGAATAGGGATTCCTTTCCCCATTGCTGGTTTTTGACAGCTTGGTCGAAGATCTGATAGTTGCAGGTGTTCAGCCTTATATCTGCACTCTCTATTCTGTTCCATTGGTCTATGTGTCTGTTCTTATACCAGTACCATGCTGTTTTGGTTACTGTAGCCCTGTAGTAGTTTCAAGTTGGGTAGCTTTGCCTCCAGATGTCTCCAGCTTTGTTCTTTTTGCTTAGGATTGCCTTGGCTATTTGGGCTCTTTTTTTGTTTCCATATGAATTGCAAAATAGTTTTGTTTACAGTTCTGTGAAGAATGTCCTTGGTATTTTAATAAGAATACCATTGATTCTATAAATTGCTTTGGACAGTATGGCCATTTTAACAATATTGATTCTTCCTATCCATGAGCATGAAATGTTTTTCCATATGTTTGTGTCATCTTTGACTTCTTTGAGTAGTGTTTTGTAATTCTCATTGTAGAGATATTTCACCTCACTAATTAGCTGTATTCCTAGATATTTCGTGTGTATGTCAATTGTGAAAGGGGTTGCATTCCTGATTTTGCTCTCAGCATGATTGCTGTCCATGTATACGAATGTTAGTGATTTTAGCACATCGATTTTGTATCCTGAAACTTGGCTGAAGTTGTTGATCAGCTTAAGATACTTTTTGGCCAAGACTATGGGGGTTTCTAGACATAGAATTATGTCGACTGCAAACAGGGATAGTTTGACTTCCTCTCTTTCCATTTTAATGTTCTTTATATCTTTCTCTTACCTGTTTGCTCTAACCAGGACTTCCAATACTATGTTGAATAGGAGTGGGGAGAGAGGACATCCTTGTCCTGTGCCAGTTTTCAAGGAAAATACTTCCAGCTTTTTCCCATTCGCTATCATGTTGCTGTAGTTTTGTCATATATGGCTCTCATTATTTTAAGGTATGTTCTTTCAATACCTAGTTTATTGAGATTTTTTAACATGAAGCAATGTTAAATTTTTTAAAAAGCCTTTCTGCATTTATTGAGATAATCATGTGGTTTTGTCTTTAGTTCTGTTTATACGATGCATTGCATTTATTGATTTGTGAATGTTGAACCAGTGTAGTATCCCAGAAGTGAAACCTACCTGAAGGTGGTGAATTAGCTTCTTAATGTGCTGCTGGATTAAGTTTGCAAGTGTTTTGTAGAGGATTTTTCCATCAATGCTCATCAAGAATTTTGGCCTGAAGCTTTCTGCAAGGTTTTGGTACCAGGATGATGCTGGCCTCATAGAATGATTTGGAAAGGAGTCCCATCTCTTCAGTTGTTTTATAGTACTTTCAATACGGCTGGTACCAACTCTTCTTTGTACATCTGGTGGAATTTGGCTGTGAATCCATCTGTTCCTGGGCTTTTTTTTTTTTTTTTTTTTTTTGGTTGTTAGGCTATTTATTACTGATTCAATTTTGGAGCTCATTATTGGTCTGCTCAGAGTTTCATTTTTTTCCTGCTTCAATCTTGGAAGGAAAAATGCATCCAGGAATTCATCCATGTCTACTGGGTTCTTCAGTTTGTATGCATAGAGGTGTTTGTAGTAGTTACTAATGGTTATTTTTATTCCTTTGAGGTCAGTGGCAACATCTCTTTTGTCATTTCTAAGTGTGTTTGTTTGGATCTTCTCTCTTTTCTTCATTAGTCTAGCCAGCAACCTATCTTCCTTATTAATTTTTTCAGAAAACGAACTCCTGGATTTGTTGATTTTCTGAATGTTTTCTTCGTGTCTCAAAAAACCTTACGTCAGCAATGATTTGGTTATTTCTTGTCTTCTGGTAGCTTTGGGGTTGGTTTGCTCTTTGTTTCCTTATTTTTTGTGTTGCAATGTTAGGTTACCATTATGTAATGCCCTTCTTTGTCTTTTTTTAATTTTTCTTGGTTTAAAGTCTGTTTTGTCTGAAATTAGGATTGCAACCCATGCTTTTATCTTTTTTCCGTTTTCTTGGTAGATTTTTCTCCATCCCTTTATTTTTAACCTATGGATGTCACTGTCTGTGAGATGGGTCTCTTGAAGACATTGTTTTTGGTGGGAGTCTTGGTTCTTCAGCTTGCCATTCTGTGTCTTTTAACTGGGGCATTTAGCCCATTTACATTCAAGGTTGGTATTGAAATGTGTGCATTTCATTCTGTTATCATTTTGTTAACTGGTTATTATGCTGGCTTTTTTGTGTGGCTGCTTTACAATGTAACTGGTCTGTGCACTTAAGTGTGTTATTCTATTGACTGGCAATGATCTTTACTATCCATATTTAGTGCTCCTTTCAAGATCTCTTGTAAGTCAGGTCTGGTGGTAACAAACTCCCTTGCATTTGCTTATCTGAAAAGAACCTTATTTCTCCTTTGCTTAAGAAGCTTAGTTTGACTGGATATGAAATCACTGTTTGATGATTTTTTTCTTTAATAATATTGAATATAGGCCTCTAGTCTCTCCTAGCTTATAGGGTTTCTGCTCAGAGGTCCACTGTTAGCCTTATGGGGCTCCCTTTTTAAGTGACCTGTCCCTTCTGCCTAGCTGCCATTAACATTTTTCCTTTCATTTTGACCTTGGAAAATCTGCTGATTATGTGTCTTGAGGATGATCTTCTTGTGAAGAATCTTGCATGGTTATCTGTATTTTCTAAATTTGACTGTTGGCCTCTCTAACAAGGCTAGGGAAGTTTTCATAGACTATATCCTAAAATGTGTTTTCCAAGTTGTTTGTTTTCTCCCTGTCCCTTTCAGAGATGCCAATAATTCATAGATTTAGATTGTTTACATAATCTCATATATTTCTCATAGGTTTTGTTCATTCATTTTCATTCCTTTTCCTTTATTTTTGTCTGTCTTACTTCAGATAGCCAGTCTTCAGGTTCTGAGATTCTTTCCTTGACTTGGTGTATTTTTCTTTTAATGCTTGCGATTGCCTTGTGAAATTCTACTGTGTTTTGCAACTCTAGCAGATCAGTTAGGTTCTTATTTATTTATTTATTTTTATTTTTTATTGCATTTTAGGTTTTGGGGTACATGTGCAGAGCATGCAATACAGTTGCATAGGTACACACATGGCAGTGTGTTTTGTTTGCTTTCTCCCCTTCACCCACATTTGGCATTTCTCCCCAGGCTATCCCTCCCCACCTCCCCCTCCCACTGGCCCTCCCCTTTTCCCCCCAATAGACCCCAGTGTTTAGTACTCCCCTCTCTGTGTCCGTGTGTTCTCATTTTTCATCACCCGCCTATGAGTGAGAATATGCGGTGTTTCATTTTCTGTTCTTGTGTCAGTTTGCTGAGAATGATGTTCTCCAGATTCATCCATGTCCTTACAAACGACACAAACTTATCATTTCTGATTGCTGCATAATATTCCATGGTGTATATGTGCCACATTTTCCCAATCCAGTCTATCATCAATGGGCATTTGGGTTGATTCCAGGTCTTTGATATTGTAAACAGTGCTGCAATGAACATTTTATGTATCAGCTCCTGTATCATTTTATTGTGATTATTAATTTCCTCAGAATGGGTTTTTCCATTCTCCTAAATCTCAATGATCTTTTTTTTCTATCCATATTCTAAATTATTTTTTCTGTTATTTCAGCCAGTTCAGCCTGGTTAAAAACCCTTGTTGGAGAACTAGCATGATCATTTGGAGAACATAAGCCATTTTGGCCACTTGAGTTGCCAGAGTTCTTGCATTGGTTCTTTCTTATCTTTGTGTGTGGTTGTTCCTTTAATTGCAACGCAGATTGAGGACAGTCAATAGACTTCTTTTTTGGATGTCTTCACAGAGCTGAGGTTTTGTGTAAGTTCTAAATAGTTGACTTCTTGTCTTTGGTTTCACAGGGGGTTATGTTAGCGAGGTATTGTTGTTGAAGCTTTGGGATGTGATCCAGTAGGTGGCGTGTAGGCATAGTGGTCAGTTGGTAGGCTCTTGCTCAGTCCGGTTGCTCCTCTTATTTTCTCACAGTTGCAGCTAGGCTCACTCTCAACGCTCTGAAAGTGTGGTCTCCTCTCCCACGAGTGCTGGCTGTAGATTGTGGCTTGGCACTCCAGAGATATCCATTAAATATCTAGGGAGATATCAGTGTTTGCTTTCTTCCCAACTTGGAGGCAGCAGAGAGGACATTAGTAGTGGTTGTGGCCAAAGGTCTTTTACTTGTCTCCTGGGTCTCTACCCAGAGAGATACAGGTCAGCAATCACTTAGTGCTATCAACCTGGGATGGGGGTTCTGTGCTGTAGGCCTAAGCCAGTGGTTCCCTGCCTGATAGTGAACAGGAGGCGGGGTCCAGGGCAGGGAAAAGAGTTAATATCACCAATATAAACAGAGTTCTTAGATACCAATGAGAATAAAATCACACTATGGAAAATGAGCAAATGACATGAAGAATTTATAAACAATTAAGAGCGAATGGTTAATAAACTTAACAAAAAGTGTTCAGCCAAACTAAGAATCAAACATAGCAGAAGAATGCCATATTTTTACAGGAAATTTTTAAAAATAACAATGCTGATGAAGGTTCAACAAGGCAGACATTCTCTTATTGAGTCAAAAAATATTGAATAATCATCCATAGGCAGGAATATGCAACCATTAAATAATGGTCTTGAATAATACAAATTTATATTTAAAGCTCATGATATTATGTAAGTAAGAAAATGAGAATATAAAACTGTATGTATGGTATAAACTCAATTTTGTATTTGAATGGAAGAAAACACAGAAAATTATAAAGAACAGTATCTCTAGATGGGGGAAGTAATCATGAATAATTTTTGTTTGTGCTTCTTTATATTCTTTTATAGTTCTATAATTTTCTACAACAAACATAATTTCATTATCAGAAATAATATGTACAGTAAACCCAATTTTAAAGCCCTTAATTATGAAAAAAAAAGATAGTTAATAATTATCTTTTTGGCTGAATTTGAGTGTAGTGAACACCCTGTGATTTAAGTGAACTTACTTTTTGAGGCAATCTCACTTTGGTGGTCCTATAGAGCTGCGTTTCTAAGTCACTTATAACCTTTATCCCACTGTCCAATGGTTTGTTATATATGTGGCTCATGCTAGTCTGTGAGCTCCTTGAAAATAGTAATTGTGCATAATTCATCTTAGTGCAATAATATGCGGTGTGTACTTGGTATTCAGCAAAATCACAGTAAGTGCATTACTCTAATTGACTTAATTCTAATCTAGACCAAACTGAGAAGTGGTAGGGAAACTTTTCTTTGATAATCTTCTTTTTTTTCTGTATAATATCACATTTTCCTTGCTGTACTCAAGGACTAAAAACCAGGTTTTGTTCATTTGTCTCCTTACTGTCCAAGTTCACATCCTGACCCCTCATCTGGGTCAGATTGTTTTCTTAAAACAGCGTCTCCCACCTTCCTAGCCTCAAAATCCCATGCCCCCTTTATTCCTCTTTCATATAACAACAAAGTTAGTGCGCTTTATGTTTTGCTTTCTAGAATTTGCTTTTTGATATATGGCAATTACTTAATAAAACACATATTTTAATATTCTCTTTATTATTATAGCTACCTTTTAAATACACAATGTCTAGATTCAATAATAATCCTAAAAGTGGGATTATTAGGCCATAAAGGCTAAGGAAATACACCCTTGTGTGTCTTTCAAATCATACACCTATAAGACGAGTTAGTTATGACCCTATAAGGTATTCTCTCTGAATATAAACTCATAATACCATCACTCATAAAGCCAAGTCTTCAATCAATTTGAGATTTAGTTATTTTATCCATACTCACTAAGAGATCCTTGGCTAAATTAAACTGCACTCAAACTAAAAGCAGTTATATTGAATAGGCAATGAAACAGAAAAAATCTGATTCATAGCACTTGTTTCACATTACTTTAATGGGCTGAGCTGATTCTCATATGCGAGAATCCTCTTTTATATTTTATGATCCTCACATGGTGTGAATGTGTAAAGTCTTATGAGGGTCTAAAGATTGCTTACATGCATGAAGAATATTTCCATATAAAAAAGAGGAACAAATCTAATGTAATTCACAACTTCCTTTACCTGTTCAGTACTTTGGCTTATATGTAGAGTGCTTGGGGCGCATGTAGATATTTTTAAAGTTGGAGAATGGAGTTCCTGTTAAGAGAAACAAAAGGAGGTTCAGAAATTATTTGAAAATCTTAAGTTCTTGAAGTATTTTTTCTTTATTTTATAATAATACAGTTAGTCAGAAATAAGAGCATTATTTAGTGCTTTCTTAGATGGTGTCCATCTTTCCGAAGAACTGAATTACTTTGTTGTCTTCTCACAAAACCCAATGATAAAAGACTTTCTAAAGTGCCTTCACAGGAATACATTCTCCTTCTACTGTTAGGTTGCATTCTTTTTGTTTCTCCTTCAAGGACTCTGTGTTCATATACATCCCAATGTTATTATATATTTGCAATTAACAAGATATATTTTATCAAACAAAACTTTTCTTTCAGTAATTTATTTCTTTTTTAAAATTCATATAAATTTAAGAGATACAAGTACAGTTTTGTTACATGGATATTTTGCATAGTGGTGAAGTCTGGGCTTTTAAAGTAACCATCACCTAAATAGTGTACATTATACTTATTAAGTAATTTCTCATCAAATGACATAAAATTTAATAATTCTCAAACCAGGAGATAGAGTCCCTGTTCTATATGATGTGCTTATTTCATATTGCATGCCTCTATCAAAATGTCGTATGCATCCCACAGATATATACACTTAATTTGTGTCCAAAATTTAAAAAATAAAATAACTTAGAAAAAATAATTCTCAAACTAATATAAGAAACTACCTTTGAAAACTCAACTAAGAGTAATTTTAAAAGTAAATTTCAAGCTACCTTTGAAAACTCAACTCAGAGTAATTAATTTTAAATCAATTCAAGCTGACTCTTAATTATGATTTGTCTACTCTGCTTCTAGTCTAATTTCAAAGAGTAGGCTCTGCTGTTAAAAATAATCTATAAAAGTGAAAGAATATAATTTTTAAAAATGATAAAATAAATGATCACTCTATTCATCATGTTGGCATTATTTACATATTTCCTCAAAATCAGGAAAACTGCAATAACTTCATTATTGTGCAGAGTTGATGGCATTACTCAATCTCCCTATACCTTACCATAATTTGAATCAATTGGCACAACTGCAAGATTTTTTTATACAAAGGTATAAATATTTTTTTTCTTTAGAACAAGGGTACTATTAAAAATCAGAATCATTAATTTACAAGGTAAACACTGACAGACTCTTACAGAACTATAGCTATAATGTAGATGTTACATGTGCTCTTAAAATAGGACTATGCATTTACTCAAACTGCCAAAAGTTTTGCATTCTTTCTTGTTGAACTCGTAGCATTTTCAACCACCCCCACCTCTTATATCAACAGCAATACTACATGCTCAGTGTTTCCAGGAATCTTTTGCATATGTTCCCAGATTTTCGGCTGATAATTGAGAAGACTTGCTCAGACAAATGCAGAAAGTTAAAGACTATAGACAAAACAGGTATACATTCTCCAGTTTAGGAAAATGGTTATAAACACAACCTTGTATAGGCAGGTTTGGCCCACAGACCCAACAGGAGAAGATTCAAGGAGACAATAAAAAAAAGGGTGCTCTTTATTTATGCAATAATACATGAACACATTCTTAATATAAAAATTGTTATAGATAAAGTTAAAGACCTTCTTTTGACCATCTTCCCTCCACTCACTTACCCAGAAGTGACCATTGTCAGTTAAGGTGTCTTTACATAAATATCTATGTATAAGTAGTAATATTACTGCTTTTATTGTTCTACAACTTAAACCAAACTGTATCTCTTGTATTATGTACTAGATACATGTTTTAACTCATTATTTTAAATTAGTAGTATTCCAAAATGCTTGTTTTATAGCTTGTTTATATATTTTCCTATGATTAACATTCAGATTGTTTCCACGTTTTCACTGTACTGCAATGAGCATCCTTTTGCAACATGTTTCTTTAGAATCCCACACAGAAGTGGGATTGCTGGGCCATCGAGTACGTGTGTTATTCATTTGAAGAGATACTGCCCTATTAATTTCCCAAATTTGACTATGATAATTATACATCCATAAGCACTGTGTGAAGGTATCCATGACTAGACGATGTTTGGTCTATTTAGGCTGGGACTAATAATATTACACTAGTATCATTCTTAGAAGACAGTTATGCAGATGGCTAGTATCTGGTAGGTGTTGTAAAATAATAGCTCTCTCTTCCTTCTTGTAACCAATTCAAATATGATGGCATTAGAAAATGAAACTTAGCAAACCTTACTCACTTACTGGACTAGCTTTTAATATACAAAAGTGTATTAAGAGTTTTATAAATCTGCAGAAATTAAAACAAGTAGGAATACACACACATCACAGACAAAAACATTTGTTTATGTGAGTATAGGCAGAATTATTTATTTAAATGCTAATATAATAGATATTTGAAGGGCAAACTGTTGCATTTGAGCAAAGACTAGTCTCACCCTAAAATGAAAGAATTCTTTAATCTTCTTAAATGTGGAAAGCTGGAATATTCCCTAGAGTATAATATATTCAATTATTTTTAGCCCTACTTCAGCCTTCATTATTAGAATTGATCATCTAGACAAATGTGGCTTTCCCATATGAACCTCATGGAAATAGTAGGGAACAAATGTAATAGCTTCAAAAACTACAACATTAAGATGTAGCTTAACATGAGTCAAAAATATTTAGACATATGTTGTTGACCAGCATGAATTTAAATTGCATCAATATGGATTTAGGCTGATCATAAGGGGGAATACCTATCTGAACATAAGGTTTATTAATTACAGAAAGATTTGCTAAAGAAAACCCTTTTTCCCTGGAAGTTTACAGAACTACCTAAGATGGTATAAGTAAATGTCCAAAATGAACAAAATCTTGATGTTGAAAGGTATTTTCAATGTCATCAAGCTCTAGGCAAGATTGCTGCAAGTCATCCCATTAATAACCATTGAACATTCCATAGAAAGAGTTCCAAAATGTTTCTGAATGAATGAATGAAAGATCTTAGTTTTAAAAGTACCCCAGGAACAACAATCCGAACCTCCCTCTTAATAACCTGTATCAGTCAGTGTTTAATTTTCACTGTTACACATCTGTATATAGCTTACCTAAATTCTTCATAGTCAAACTATTGAATTCAATAAACAGTTACCTTTTTAGTTTTTATTCCTTTTGTGTCACAGCTCCACATTCCTGATGACCAAATAATTGAAGACAATAATGGGGTGGTGGTGGCTGTCATAACATAGTGGAAAAAGTGCTAGACTTGGAGTCACGAGCCCTGGATTTTATTCTCAGTTATATTACTAGCCACTTGTGTAATATTGGTCTACACATGCTCTCTCTCTGAGATTAGTTTCCTCATGTAGGAAATGGGATATTATTTAAACTTATCAGTCTTGTTTTTCTTTGATGATGCTGGTTATGATAATGTTAACTAACACCTATTAATAGCTTTATATGCCAAACATGTTGCATAGATCATTCTCTTTAGCACTCAAAACAACCCTATAAAGGAGATACTATTACGACTCCATTGCATACACAAGTAAAGTTAGACAGAGATAGAATAGGTAACCAGATGGAGATTACACAGCTAATGTTAAGGTGCTGGAATTCCAACTCAGTTAGCATGACTCCAGAACTCATGCTCTTAATCACTATACTTTGCCACTTTTATGGTTTACCTCATTATATTTTGTTTTTCAAGTTGTGTAACCTAATTATATGGTTAGGTTTGACTAGTCCTTATAACAGAAAGTCAAATACTGGGACTTTTAAAATTATTCCCTGTGAAAAGCAACTTTGGAGACCTGAAAATAAGAGACCCACCCAAAAGTGACTGTGTGAGAGAACGGCCTTGACTAGGTAATTTAAGCTTCCATAAACTCAATAGAAGTTGTTTGTAAAATGTGTGATACATTTACAGAGTGTACTCACAGGCCTCTAAAACTCAATAAACCATTGAATTTTTATTTAATACTCATCATCTAATCTTTTCAATTTTGCAGGAAGACCTTACTTTTTCTGATAAAATATTCAGCATTTCGTTGAGTCATTTATTCCTGTGGGTCAAACTTGCTATGTACACAAGCATTATACTTTATAGGCAACTTTCTTTAAGCAGAGTTTGGTGAAAACGCATTTGGCTTATAATTATGTGGGCTCATGTCTAATATATCCAACACTGCTTCAAATAATGATTTTCAACTTTGGGAAAGTCATAACAGCTCTCTTCCTCCTATTGCATTTTTACTTTTTATGAAGTATATATGGCATTACCAATTTTTAGACCAGAGTAGATTAAAATCAGTCTGTTTTGGGGATACTTTCACTACATCACTTGAGATAATTGTCTATACCTTTGTACACCCTAAATTGGAACTAGGAAACTCTGGTTTTCCTAGAGAATCATTATTCACAAAAGTATATCTTATTTCCAACTATTTGTTTAAAAGGCTGTTTTCAGAGTTAAATCAGATGATGTGCCAACAGCCTAAATGTCTCCATTATTTACTTTAGTGAGAATGCTTTTGAGTAGCTCAGTGCAGTGGAGAAAGAAGTGAAAGCAGAAGCTGAAAAATGTTATTCTCCTTTGATAAAGGGAAAAACCTTAAAAACTTAACATATACACTGAATTCTAGGATTATTCAGAGCAAGTCCTTGAAAATCAGAAGGAAAATATTTTTGTTGTCTAATATAATTTTGATATTTTCCATTCTGATAATGGAACATTAGAAAAGGAAAATATACAGTAAAGGTAATCATCCAACATTATTTGAAATAGAAAATGTGAACTAATTTAGAAATCATGAGTATCTATCTAAAGTTAATTAAAGGAGATAGCTGATGTAAGGAAAATATTAGGAGCTGGTTTCTAAACTCAGGGCATTTACTAACCAGCTGTACTAAATAGACAACTTATTTTGAGCTATTTGAGCCTCAATTTTCTTATTTGTTTAACAGACAAATAATGCACAAGGAATATTGTCTTTATTCATACACTGTACAATTTGTACAATAAACATAATAATGCTTGTTCT